AGGAGCTGGGGCTGGACCTCTTCAGAACTGCAAAATAGAAAGACACAGGAAGGAGAATCTTAGTGACTTTGGACACAGAGACCTTACTGTGACGGCCCTGAATCACCTAAGCACCCCACTGGTCCTCCAAGGAATCTCTGCTTCCTTTGCCCATGCCCCCCATCTCCTGCTCTCCCTGCTCTGATCAGCATCTGTGCTGTCCGATTGTAGCTCAACAAGACCAAGGTCACACTTGAAGGCGTCCCCTGGGATCGTTCTTTCTGAAGGAACAGGTTTTTAAGTTCACAGCGATGCCACAATAGGGCATAGCCATCCTCTGTCACAAAGGAGATCAGGAAAAGAATGAATAAAGAGGGATATTTGCCCCACCTGGTTCTGTGGGTGACTGCAGGAACCTGCTTCTTTGGAGTCAGGGTCCTGCAGGAGTCGTCTCTTGGCAGGTGGCAGGCAGCAGCACAGGTGTCTGAGGAAGTTCACCATTATTTTCTTGACCCCCTTCCAGCTGGGGCGCCTCCTGTTTCCTGAGGAAGCTGGACCAGAATCCTCAGGCTGGCCATGGGTGATGGCCTCCTCCTGTGTTATGGTGCATTCCTGAGTCAGGGTCACTAACTGGGCCATTGTCACTTCCAGAGTGATGGTTGCTTCCCGAATGATGTCTTCATGCTCCATGAGGGTCTCTTCCTCTGTGATGGACTCAGTCTGAGTCATGCTCACTCCATCGGCCATGGTCACTTCCTTTGTCCTGGTCTCCTCCAGAGTCATGGTCACTTCATGTGCCATGTCCTCTTCCTGGATTATGGTTAGTTCATGTGTTATGGCTTCTTCCTTGGTTATGGTCACCTCCTTTGTTACAGACACTTCCTGGGTTATTGTTGCTTCCTCTGAGATGTCTTCTCCCTGGGTTATGGTCACTTCCTCTGTGATGGACTCTTCCTGGGTTATGGTTGTTTCTTGTGTGATGGTATCTTTCTCATTCATGGCCTCTTCCTGTGTGATATTCACTTCCTCATTAATGTCTTCTTCTTGTTTGCTGGTGTCTACCTGAAATATATCCCCAGAGAAGGAGCCCGTGGAGGTGACACTCTGAGCTATCTCCATGGAGCTCCATAGTTCCTCTTGGTAACTGAGGGAAGATATGTTGTCTGTGTCATGTGTGGTTTCATTGTGGTCTGGCCTGGAAGAAGCAGTGTACATTAAGAGAGATGGCTGGACACTGGACATCAGGCTGCCACTCGTCCCGATCGTGGAATCAGAGAAAATCTCACTCATATCCTCGCTGCTGTACATGAGGAAAAGAGCTCGATGATTGTTTTGGTAGACTAAGTGGGAATGGTAGGTCTTCTCTGACTTGCAGAACAGGGTGGCAGGCATGCTATGCCTTATGGCATCCTGCCTGGCATTCTTCCTTTCTTCCTTCTCCTGGGGCTTAGATGGCAAGGTGAAGTTCAGGGTAGCAGGCTCAGTAGCTCTCCTTAGGGGCACAGGGAAGGTGTGAAGATCTGCAAGGTTGAGGACATGGCCTGGCTGCATGGTTTCCACTTGCTGATGGCCACAGTCTCCCGCAGGAGACTGGTGTTGGAGAATCAGGTAAGTTGCCATTACCTGGTTGTAGGTTTCGTCTCTCAGAGAATCAATGATTTCCTCAGACTTATACCCCATGACTGTCATGGTGCTGACAATGCCAGGGTTCACAGTGCAAGGGCATTTCTGTGTGGACATAGGTGGTGAATGTGCCTTGCTGTCCCTGATCATGGGGCGCGTCATGATTTGGTCAATGGTGGGCCTCCTATCCGGGTTGATCATCAGCATTTCGACGATGACATTGAAAATATCTATGGAAACATGCTGAGGTATTTTGAAGTTTGCAGGCAGGATCTGATGCCTCAGACCTTCAGAAGAGCTAGCCCGGAAGGGAAAGTGCCCGACCACCATGAGGAAGAGAAGCACACCTAAACTCCAAAATCACTGGCACAGCCATCATAGGGCTTCTCTACAAAGATTTCCGGGCCAGCGTGCCACAGATATCACTCAGCTTCTGCCCTGGGGTCATTTTACTAGCAAGGCCAAAATCACATAACTTGGCGTTACCCCTGCAGTCGAGTAGTATGTTATTGGCCTTAATGTCTCTATGGACAATATGGTTTTCATGGCAGTACTGCATGGCAAGGAGAATCTGTGTAAATAGCCTTCGTGCCTCACTCTCCTGTAAGAACCCCAGTTCCAGAATGTGCCGAAGAAGATCTCCCTCTGATGCGTGCTCCATTACTAAGTAGGTGGTGTCTCTTGATTGGACCACCTGAAACAACTTAATGATGTTTGGATGCTGGAGAGATTTCATGATGCTGACTTCATTGGCAACAAGCGAGGCATTCTTCTTCTTCATTTGAAGAACTTTTACAGCCACACAGGTTACAGTAGGAACATGGAAGGCCAGTTTTACCTCAGAAAAATGTCCATGACCCACAGTCATCATCATCTTATAGTCAGTCATGAAAGACTCCTCACAGGAGTAGCAGGCCTCCCTTCCTTGCTCCATAATCAAATCCTTGTTGAATGGCTAGAACCAAATTCACAATGGGTAAGTTGAAAGAAAATGTTCATATCAGGCACAGGAGAATGGTGATAGCTACAAATTAGTATGTTCCAAAGAAAGACACTGAGTGACATGGCAGACAACCTAACCAGTTACTTAATGCTCACAAGGAGAAGAAAGCCCCTTCCACAGCATTGGACTACAGAATATGACACCAATAGGGTTTATACTAATAGTCAGGTATCAAGCGGAAACTCATAGAAGAAAATAAAGGTCACAGAAGCTAAGAGCCAACATTGGGGAGGACCATGATCCTCTACCAGTACCCAACACTCAGAGACGAGGCTCTAGTAAAACCAGAAGCAAGAACAGTTGCCAAGACAACAGATACCCCAAAACCCAGAGTTACTGGGTGGAGAGATGGCTCAGGAGCATTCACTCAGAGAGAAGGCAGCTCCTGACCACATTGGGATGTAATGGCAAAATGCTGTGTTCCATGGCATCCCAGGGCCTGGGATTAACATCTGTGGGGCTTAAAGATGACATAATTCATCATATGATACCAATTAGACCTAAGATTTTTCAAGGAAGCCCAGGATCCCAGACAGTGGCCTGATACATTCATAATTTGCAAGAAAGTATTTGTCAGCCAGTACCCTAAAACAACAGGTGTGGGAGATGGAACTATTCCCTGGCAGCCTAGGACCTTCTTCTCTCAAACAAAATGACTTAGTTATGTCACTTATAAACAACAGAAATTGGTAGGTTGTGTATCTGGACATTGGCAAAATAAGATCAAGAACCTGGTGACTGAGTGTAACAGGACTTCTCTCTACTCTAACTGGTACTTTGTATGTATTCCCACATGATCAAGTAAAAGCATGACCTCAGTGTATGAAGCCATTTCTTAAAGGCCACCTGTTCTACTGTGTGACAAGTCTTTAATGCTCCTGAGTCCCCATTTGTTAATAGAGTTGTTTTAGGATTAAAGTTTCAACAGGTACCTTGCAGGACACAGATACATATTTATTTATACACACACTACACATAAACTACACACAAATATACAAACTCTCAATAACACACACACACACAGACATCCCCATTTGTTAATAGAGTTGTTTTAGGATTAAAGTTTCAACAGGTACCTTGCAGGACACAGATACATATTTATTTATACACACACTACACATAAACTACACACAAATACACAAACTCTCAATAACACACACACACACAGACCTGACAATCATACATGATTCAACTAGCTGTGCCCAGCAGGGGAAGTCAAGAATAGGGACAGAGGGATGTAACAGAATGAGTAGGGGCGGGGATAGAGATTCAGGGCATTTACTTTGGGACAAGTGGAGAGACACTTTACTTTTTGGGGATTGGTCCAAGTAGGAAGGTCAGCTGGTTGCTTCTCAGCCTCTCAGAATTTTCAGGTTTCCACCCTATGACAGACTCCCAATTCTTTGTTGGTAAATAGAACAATATGAGGATGGGGAAGTCAGGAATAGGGACAGAGGGATGTAACAGAATGAGTAAGGGCAGGGTAGAGATTCAGATCATTTACTTTGGGACAAGTGGAGAGACACTTTACTTTTTGGGGATTGGTCCAAGTAGGAAGGTCAGCTGGTTGCTTCTCAGCCTCTCAGAATTTTCAGGTTTCCACCCTATGACAGACTCCCAAAGTTGGTAAATAGAACAATAGAATATTAATTAAACCTACATTTGGCAGCTACAGACAACCTGGTGACAACAGGACCAGATATCCTGCTAGGCCTAGGTCTGAGAAGTGGGGGCCAACTCTGTGTCCTTTGGTCACAATGGTAGATAAAATATCAGTAGATTTAGGAGCAGCTGATAAGCCAACAGAAAAACAACTAGGTGAGTACATGGCAATTATTCAATTAGGAAAGTGAATGCAGGAGGACCAGCAGTTCAAGTCATCTTTGGCCACTCAGTGGCCGTGAGGCCAGCCTGTACTACAGGAGACCCTGTCTCACCAAAACAAAAAGCAAAAGCAAAGAGCAGAAGAGCAAGGACTGCTCTGGTTTTGTACATATTCGAGGTTCTCAATGTTATAAAAAAGACATTTGCTGTGAGATACATCTGATGGACACAAGTGTGTGTGACATCAACAACTGAGTTGGCAGGGCTGTCGTCAGCCTTTTCCTTGTTCTTGAAGCAAAGCTGCTGTTGTCTCCCATCAGAATTCTAACATGAAATACTGAAATGTCCAGCGACTGATTTTTGGAGTTCAAACTTCAAGCTGAACATCAGGAAAAAAATCAGGTGGCCACCAGCTTCTCACCTTTTCATCAGGCTGAATGGACTGATCCTCTCTCCATGAGCTCCCACCAAGCCTCTGACTGTTAGTGGGGTTGAAGAATGAATGCCTCCTATTGACTACATGTTCCTGTCTTTTATAAACCTCTAGCTCTTAGATTAAGTGTGTGAGCTATAATTCCCTTTTAGCCTGATTCAGTCTTGTGTAGATCTGGTGACCTTGAAATCTCAGAGATCCTTCTACCTCTTAATCCTGAGTCCTAGGATTAAGATTGTGTAGCACCACCTCCTAGCTTCTGGCTGCTGGGTTTAAAGGTGTGTATGAACACTGCCTCATCTGTATAGCTTGAGGCTCATTTTGCTCAGGACCTGTGGAAACCAGGAAAGAAGCTGAAGGACTTCACTGTTGGACAATGAAGTTCCTTCTACCTAGCGCTTCTCCACAAAGGATGAAAAGATTAATATTGCAGGAGGTGGTAAATGCCATTAATACTAGTACTTAAGAGGCAGAGTCAGGTGTATCTCTCTGAAATCCAGCCAGACTGGTACTCAGAGAGTTCCAGGACAGCCATAACTACAAAGAGAAACCTATGGAAAAACAAAAAAGAAAGCAAAGATAAATAGGAGTTTTGTTAAACTCCAACTTGGGAAGATCAGGAAGAAAGTTTTGCCCAAAAAATGTCCCCATTTTTCAAAAAGGAAATGTGTATGCCCTTCTGGGCAGATGACTCCAACACCAGGTAGTTTTTCTTCCTGGTCTTGTTCTCTGAGGTCTATGAGCCCCAGAATGGATCTTTTGCTTCAAATCCATTATTGTTTCCACCCCCGGGGATGATAACATACTAGCTTTGGGACTATAATGCTCCTTAAGATAGAAAATGAAAATGATCCATGAAAGGACAACTTCAAGCCAATAGAAGGACAGGAGATGGTGGAGGGACTTGTCCCACCAAGGACAGTTCTTTTCTTCCTGGAAGAACAGGCTCTCTTTACACTTTCATTTACTCTGTTCTTGAAGTCTTTCAGAAACCCTGTTCATTACATAACATCCAAAGAATGGGATTTGACTATTTCCGATGCTCTTGCCAGTCATGAACTTGAACTGCCAGGGACATCCCAAGATAACCACCTAGCAGGAGGCTGTCTGCCAAAGCACAGAGACATTGCTGCCGTTCCTTAAGAGACCATCCAGTGTGGCTTGTCAGTCCTCTGAACAGGAGTCCACATGATTTGGCCTGTACTCAGTAAATAAGTGGCTGAATATAAAAAAGGAAAACATTGAGGGACTTGGAAGGGGCGTTCAGGAGG